ATAGTACTGGTTCAAGGTGGGGGCGCTTTGCTGCTCTCATTGTTACCCTGTAGTTGTTTAGTCATTTGAACTGTTAGTTATCAATGTGGTATTAAAATATGAGGCTAAGTGTTAAACATAAGAGCTTCCTGCTTGATTTTATCCAACCAATAAGTAGGAGACAGGAGAATAAAAAACTGTATTGGTCACTGCTGTTTTACACTGCAGTGATAAGTCTCCTGCAGAGGATGTGTAGGAGTTAGAGGGAAGTTCGAGAGGCTGTAAGTGGGGACTGAGTAGCTGCATTATCAGCAGTCTGATAGAAGATGTCTGTGTTTGTATGTGTGGGTCAGAAGGGCTGGGTGCTTTTTCTGCCTCTGCTTATCACCACTAATTAAAACATTTGGATTTCCCTGGCCTGCTCTGGAGGAGTTAGTGTCTGTCTGAGCATGTGTGTGAGAGATGTGAGGCTGATGAGGGGTCAAAGAAAGAAATGCTACAACTTAAATAATTGCTCATCTCCATCGTTTGACAGTATAGAAAAAAAATCTCCACACTGTTAGACCATTTCTCCACATACTTATTCACCCACATTTTTTTCTTCATTTTTATGTATCCAAAATTTACATGCCTGGCAATCAGTTTCTGGTCTCAGGTTCAATGACTTCTTCAGTAGGACAGTGATCCAAAGCTCAGCAACAAATCCACCTCCTACTCCACCTGGCTTTGTCAAAGTCCCAAATTAAATCTGTGAGAAATGCTGCTGCATAACCTTGAAAATGGCTGTTCAAGCCAAAACTCCTCCACATGAGCAATGATACATAGATTCTACAAAGAATAGTGGACCACAATTCTTGTGACCTGTTTTAAAGGCAAACAGTCTAATCAAACAGTTGAAGATCAATCAGCTGCTCTTGATGGAAGTAAAATATATAAATTGAGAAAAGAAAAGATTGTTATAAATTGCTCACTTTGTACACTGTTGTTTTTTAATAGAGCTGACATTAACGCCTTTAAAATGACTCATAGTTAAAGTTTTAACAGTCCTTCTTAAAATAAAATAAAATAATAGTAACTATGCACACCATTGGACGAATCATCTTTAACATGAAGTTGGAAGCAGCTGTTTCCAGTAGCCCTTATTCAGCACGAAAAGGAAAGCTGGTCAGAGTTGGTGGGAAAATGGAAATTCTGGGAAAATTCTTGAGGAAAATATGCTTGTGCACCAGTTGTACGGCAGTAAAATCTTATTGAGGTGATAAAAAACCAAGTACAGGTCCCGACCTGAAACCATTTCAGAAGTTGTGACAAGAGACTATTTGTCCAGTCCGACTGACAGTTAGCTATCTGTCATAAAAGAATGGGACAAAAAATCCATCTCCATATAGTCAAAGCTGGTAGAAAAACATGTAAAAAATTCTAAATGCAGCAAAAGTGATTCTTATTAATAAAGAACAATAATTTTTTTTGGGATTTTCATTGCTAATAAAGAAAGCCATGGGTCTTTTCAGCCCATTTCGATATGTTGAGCTGCTGTGTGTTTTTTGATCATATGGAAAAAGCATAAATATAATGTTTAATAAAATAAAAAATAAAAAACGGGATTCAATTTAAACACTCTAAAACATAAAAGCTGGTCAAATACGAATCTAACCAGACTCAACTTACTGCACAACAACGCAGAATGCTTCTTCCCTGCAGCATATATTGATGCATTTATTAGAAGTTGTTGGTGGGCTCGTCTCTTTTTCCTCTGATAATTTTTCCTCTATTCTTAGAGAGATATAATCCCTGTGTCTTTAAACGGTGACCAGGACACCTAGTTTTCTGTGTCTAATTTAACTTCCCTGATATGAAATGTATTATAAATGATAAAACTCTTTTTACATGGCTGCTGAATTACATTGAAGCAACATCACCAACATGTCAAACAGGACAATAAGCGCTGATTACATGAAATCCCATTAAATTGTGCAGAAAGGTGGGATGTCTGATTCCTTTTGAAACCAGGAGAGCTTATAAGCGCTGATGTGGTTCGCTGTGTGATGGATGCGTCTCCTCCCTGGGGGGAGTTGATGTCTTTTAGCTTTACTGTAAATGTTTACATTCCGACATTCAGTGATGCTATCTGCTAATAGTTTGTAGAACTAGCCCAGAGAGTTCTCTGGGTGGGATTATTTGTGAAGTGTGTGTGTGTGCGTGTGTGTGCATGTATCTGTGGGTCCAAAGGATGCAGATATGACTTTAAACAGAAGTATTTACTGTCACCCCTCTTTTTCCAAAGACTTGGCCTCCATCTGCATAGGGCCAGCATAGGCACAACAGAAACACTCACTGCTGCACTATATACATTCAAAACATCTATAGGTTTCTGATGCTATGAATTTTAAGTAGTCATAGTTCAAACACTTTTTATGACTAGATTCTCACTCAGTCGTGTGAGCTCTTAATCATTTAATTTAGGCTAGCAGCCTCTGCCCTTATGTGTAATCCTACATTAAAATGAGCTCCCCTGAAAATATATTACTGCAACAAAGGGTGCATTGGGAATTAATGCTCTACTGCTGCTCAGGTGACATGTGAGGATACTCAATCAATAGATGTGTATCTTGAAAGTACAGCCAAGCGTGGATTAGGTGGGGAACGTCATTCCTGTGTTGCAGAGCAGAGAGGTCGCCCCACCCTGCAAGCCTTTATCTTAGCTGAGAAATCTTTAGACACACAAAGACAACAGGATATTACTTGTTTCCACTGGTTTTAATACTCATTGTTCAAATCTGCCTTTTAATACTTGTTGTTTTTTATAAGTTGCTCAACCTAGTTTGGAGAATTCAAAGGACCAAAAAAAAAACATTTTGTTCAAAGCTTTATATCCATATTCCTCTTCTCTCTCTGCTTCCTTGTTGCACTGAAAAATGAAGTGCAACGCAAAAATTGTAGACATGAACTACATACACATTTAAACACAAGTTATGTTTTTTTGAGTACTTGCTGAAGCACATTCCTGTGCAGAGACAGTTAGCGCTGACAGTGCTGTGACCCCTGATGGAATCACAGTAAACCAGCTTAACTGGAATGAAGTTTTACAGTAAGATCTTTTATCTTTGCCAGATTAGATTAAATGAAGCTTAAAGAAAATGTGATGCATTAAAAGGTGTGGTCCATGCTCACCAGTGATGCCTGAACTGATATACAACCTGCAGCTGAATGACTGAGCTCTGAGCACTGAACACTTAATCTTTTATTACATTTTTCAGACTCGTGATGAATAATCTTTTCCCTCTTTTATGGAAAAGAGTTGGAAATACCAGTCTCACTCCATTATGATTTACTTTTTAGAGCAAATGATTTTAGTCTCAATAAGTTTTATTCAATTTAATTCAAAAATACTTCTTTAATCACAAAAGTGTATTAAATGTTGGGTATTGAAGGATGTCATTAAAATGTAGGCATCAAGAAGTACTTAATGCAGGCTGGACAAGTGTTCTTCAGCCTTGCCAGCCTATTACCATGCAAATACAATCACAAAGTCAGTGCTATCTGATATCAACCAAGTGATGGTTGTGTTTATAAGCTGGAAGTGCATTTGAATAATTGCATTGCTACAGAGGACAAGCATATGTCATGCATGAAAAACAAAACGATGACAAACACATTTACTTGCAGACTTTCTTATCTTTTGACTCCAAAGACATTTCATGTCAGTCTTCACTCATTCTAAGACCAACATTGCCAATTTAAACGTAATGCTTTGTCAGACTATTTCTTTTGAATCTGGCTACAGAGGGTTGGGGCGGCTAACTTAACAACATATACAAAGGAGTTATAATGGAGTATTAACTGTGGAATTGTCTGTTTTTATTAGTATAGTGCACGTTTTTTTTATTTGTGTTCTGATATTTTCTTCAGCCCAATGTTTTTGATCTTTACACTGGAATCTGAACTGGAGCTAAAATCAACACAAAAAAGAACAAGGACAAATGCATTAGTGGATCTCGGAATGTCTTATTACTGTTACCTAATTCTTCCAGCCACCATTCACTTGTATCATAGTTGCACAAATCATATAGGCAGAGCTCCTAAATTTTACTTAATTCCTTTTCAAAAAAGGAAAATAAACTGTAATGACACATATACAAGGTTATCATTTTTTGTATGCTCAGTAACAGTAAATTGGCACTATGATGAAACCTTTAAACCCTAAAAATGTCCATGAAATATTTCAGCAAGAACTAGTGAAATTAATTCTTGTGAAATAAATTCTTCAACTAAAGCAACTAAACATGTAAAAGTAAAATGATAAACAAAGCAGAATACCTAAAGTGTAAAACATATTAAAATTTATGACCTTCCATGCCCTCCTGACTTTAAAAGCAGATTAATATCCCTCTAAAAACAAACTCTGTCTGCATGCAAAGTGTTGCAAAATATCACGTTGAAGTTAATTCCTTGGTGACAGGTTGACAAACTGCTCTCCAACATGATCCCTTTCTCCTTTGCATTACTGTAATAACTAAATCCCTTTGCTAAAAAAACTTTTAATATCTACTGCTGCAAAAAATGCAGAGGAATGTTTGCTTTCTCCATGTGTATAAAGTCCTTTGCAAAAAGTATTTCTATCGGTTAAACTTTTTTTTCCCCATATTGTCACGTTACAACAGACTTCAGTTTGTTTCATGGGGATTTGATATGATAGAAGAACAATATTTGATTATCTTTTACAACTAAAACTATACATTCAGATTATTTTATTCTAATACTCCATCATAAAAAGTAGTGTAACAAACAGGCAGAAATCAACTAAGTAATCTGTAAAATGTAGTTCTTGCCATGCACTGTTCTGTGAGGAGCCACATAAGTAACCAAATAGCATTTTAGACAGGTTAGAAAATATTATAAAAAAAAAAAAACACTGAATATATACATCACATTTCAATCTACATTCGGGGAACAAAATCCTAGAGAGCTTTGATTAGAGAGGCAGCCAAGAGACCAATGAAAACTATGATCCAAAGCTCAGGTGGAAGATGTAGTTTAAGCCTAATAATTATGTTAAATTAGGTTAGGTTATTATATGTTTTATTGTTATTCACAACATTACATTTAACATTAAACATAAAATCCATTGATTTTCTCTCAGTGTTTAATGCAGTTGTCCAAGCTAGTAACAGATGGTGGAAATGCTGAGGCACGTTGATATACTTGAGTATCTATTATCTGGTCCTGAGTTTCTTGGCATAATAAGCAGATATTTAAGGTGGGCAGTTGAATGTCTAGATCAGTCACCATGAACAAATATTAAGGATGTGTTCTGAGTTCCTAACTTGCAGGCATGCCCAAAGTTGGTCCTGAAGGGCCACTGTCCTGCAGGTTTTAGAGGTTTCCCGGATTCAGCACAACTCATTCTGATCTTTTCAGCTGTGCTTAAGAAGGGAAACCTCTAAAACCTGCAGGACAGCAGCCCTTGAGGACCATCTTTGGGCATAACTAAGGGTTTGTCTGCTTATGCACTGCAACTACTAGCACAGACCAAATTGTTTATTACACAGGGTACACAACTATTGTCATCACTGGTGACAGTCAATCTTGGGAGTAAGTGGGGCAGCAAACAACATTTTGCAGAGGGCTTCAGAAGGTTTATCAATGAAGAGTTTGTCTGAGTTAATATCTCTGGTGATCTGATCCACACTAAAAAATAATAAAATAAGATTAAAACAAAAAACACCACTGTTGTCAAGAAAAGCACAGGAACAGATTTACCTTCTCTGAGGCCTAAACAGGAAGGAATTCTATCCCACATCTGGTTATATTTTACATGCATGTTATTTAACCCACTGCTTCTCATCCTGTTTTAGAGCTAAAGGGCCTGTAAACAATAGCAGCCCAACAGGATCCTAAAAATGTTCATCAAAATCACTTATTCCCTTTTTTTCTTTCCTGAAAGAGATCCTTAACATGTGCTGAATCCACAGAAACACATCCATTATCAAGGATGCCTAAAACAGCTTTTCCCACAACTCATTTTTCCTCCTCCTTACTGAGAGAGATTCAGAAGCATCAGCAGCAGGTCCTGTTGCAAAATAATAAAATCTACAAAGGCATTTCACACTTCTCAGTTTTTTTTTTCTTTGTAAATCAGCTAAAAGAAACATGCATCCTTCACCTTCCACTTCAAAGTGATGTGCTATATCGTTCTTTCTCTTGAAAAATTCCCAATAAACAAATTGCAGTTTGTTATTGCAATGCAAAATCTGAAAAGCTTTGCTGTGTAGGAGTGAAAGACTCTGAAGTAGTTATTTAGTAAAATTATGCAATGTCACAATATCTTACTGAATAACACCTCCTGACTACTAAACAAAACAAGGCTGAGTTCAGGATACACTTTTCCACTTGAGTAGGAATGATGTTTTATTTCCATATCAGTTGTGGTCGTTGTTCCAATTCCTTCAACATGTGGGTATTTTACTGGAAGCCAAACAATGAATAATGTGTGCTTTACAGATAGGGGGGAGCAGAGTGGTGCAACATGGTCTATTTAGCCTGTCTGATTCATCTGAAGCACACAACAGCAAAATAACTAAAATATAAAATTTGCACACATTGGGATGTATAAAAAAAATCATTAAAAGTAAGATTCAAGATAATATATGATTGAGTCAGCAAGATATGGATATCAACAACCATTTGGAAACCAAAATCTAAAAATATCAGTCTTTGTTGTTCATGCACAATTTTGTTGGTTTTGAAGAGTCAGAAAAGGGGTTTTACAGAGGACGATTGAGTAAAAACAATAAAACATCATCTTGTAGTAGGGTAATGCATAATAATAAATATAAACTGAAGTGTAACCCCTTTACATGGTAAGTTTTGTATTATTCATTTTGAGGTAGGTTGCATGGTGATGCAGCTTTTAGCACTGTTGTTTTGCACCAACAATGCTTAAATTCCAGTATTGGGTCTTTCTGCATGGAGTTTGCCTATTGTTGGTATCGTTCTCCTGCTCTCTCACACAGTCATGTATATAAGCTCCTTTCAAAGATGGACTAGCGGCTTGTCATCCCTGTTCCTGCTTAGTCACTACATTATATCTGAATATCTCTTTTTGTTAGAAGCTCTTGGCTAAGGTTTTTCTGCCCTAACATTTCTTTCAGTTTGTCCCTCTGCAGGAATAAAACTTAATAGTTCATTCTTAAACAATCTTTGTCCAACTGCATGCCAAATGCTAAATTAAACGTTCATAATTTTAATTAATACTATGCATTCAATTTGGAGTAGGCTGTCATTTTACAGAAAAGCGTCAAACACACTACAAAATGCACACGTCTCTGTGTAATTTATTGATCTTTGTGTTTTATGGGACATCAGAACATTCCTCCACCCAACCTCCTGCCAATGCTGTGTGGCTGGTACCACTGATGTGAGTAGGGGTGGTACTGATAGCCGTGGTATATTGGAACAGTCATGGGAAACTGTGCTCCACTGCCTGGAATCCAATGCTTTTGCTCGTTTCTCATCAGCACTTTAACCGCTACAGTCTTTGGAGAGCTCAGCGCTGTCAGTTCTGTTGCCAACTGGCGCCGTTTCGTTTTGTATCTCCGGTTCTGGAACCAGATTTTCACCTGGGTCTCTGTAAGCTTCAGGGTGCAGGCTAGTTCTGCCCGCTCGGGACCAGAGAGGTACCTCTGGGTGCTGAATCGGCGCTCCAGCTCGTGGATCTGCGTGTGGGAAAAGGCCGCTCTGGAACGCTTCTTGGCAACCTGCGTGGAGCGGCGCTGCTCGTGGGAGCAGCTGAGCGCCTCTCCGCCGTGGTGGAGGTGGGCCCCTTTTTTTCCTGAATCCACTTGGATCCTCTGCCGCGTATCCTGCTCCACACACTCCGCTTTGGCACACTCTGAGGCACATAATCAACAAACTTTTTATTCCCCCCACATTAAAAAGTGAAAAAAAGCAAATAAGCCTATATGAAGCATATATTTAAAAAATAAAGTAATACATCTAAATAATAAAAAAAAAAATCACAGTATGCTTTAAAACAACTCATATATTGTGTTTCAAATTTATATTACACACATACTCTATACATATTTCTCAACATTTGTATTTTTTCTGCACATATTAAATCCAAACAAGGGTGTAAACTTAAATGACAAATGCATGCTGTCATGTTTTTTGGATTTTAGTATTTTTAACATAGGTACACATATCAGCAAACAATTAAAATTAATATGATTTAAATGCATTTATTAAAAAAAAATGAAATATAGGAAATTGTAAATTTAAACCTTACCTTCTCCAAATTGAGTCACAACCCCTCTCTCTGCCCTGCAGCTGTTGGATCGGTGGCTTTGAGACACGCGTATACCAGGAGAAAGGCTTTGCTGTATGGCGCTGTCAAAGCCAGTGCGTAAATTGCGCGCAAGTGCGTGAAGCTCTTCAGTAGCTGTACTGTTGGGTTTCTTAAGAGGAACATCAATGCCAGTAAGAATGTCTTTGATTAAGAATGGTGAAAATTTTGATGCCATGATGCAGTGTAAGAGTACAAGAACGTATGTCCAAACTCTGCCCCGCGATTCATGTGGTGGCATGAAGAGATCAGCGGTTCCAAAGCGAAGCCAGCTCTCGCTGATTTGATTTTCTGCTTCTTTAAATTATTGGCGGTCAGCTTGATCCATTCCCTTAATAAGCGGACTGAAGAACCAACTGCCAAGAGTTTCAGCGCTCCCAGCTAGAGCTTTGGTGAGATCTTGATAGGTTGTTTCCTCCACCCGCTCCATCCATGGCGCCGCCCCGTCAGAATCTGCTCTCGGTTGAACTTCCACACAAGCAAAATTTATTCTGCCAACAAAAGAGGCAATTTGGAGTTCAATTTCGTTCAGTTGTGTCTTATTAACCCCATGTCAATGTAAGAGCACCACAATGTAATCTGTACAAAAATGAAGATAATACAAAT